TTTTGTGTGTGTGTGTGTGTATATATATATATATATATATATATATATATATATATATATATATATATATATATATATACATATTACTGATGATAGATTTATTAAATTATGCATAATTATATTTTATTATATATTTAATGTAATTAATAATATTTTTATTTTTAAAAATTGATAGCATCGTTTTTGTGTGATTTTATTTATTTTTATTGTTTTAAAATGAAGACAATTTTTTTTATATATATTATGTTTATATATTTTTGTATATCAGGATTAAAGAATTATATATGAGCAGTATTACCTATAATGTAATAAAATACAGTATATAACATTTTAAAAATAAATACATTTTTATCTTGCCACTTTTTAGCATCTCTAAAGTGGTTTGGAAATTAAGGTGTTGGATTTTGGGTGTGACGCTCTCAGTTCAGTTGCTAGTCTCTGTCCAAACCTGCATTAATCAAACTTTTCCATGTGAGCTGTTTCTGTTTCATGAAATCATTTATCAACACAAACCAATTCAAGCCTTTCCTCTAAAACTAGAGTTGGTTTAATTATTAGTTCTGAATGTTTTACAGATTGTGCAGTATTGATCCGATGAACTTGTAATGTAACCCGAAGAAGACAAAGATCTCCAAAACACCATTTAGCTCAACTTAAGAATCTTGTTTACCAAAAAAATGGTTCTTTGCTTAAAGGGGTGGTTGATTGCGATTTCACTTTTTTAATGTTAGTTAGTGTGTAATGTTGCTGTTTGATCATAAACAATATCTGCAAAGTTACGAAGCTGAAAGTTCAATGCAAACGGAGATATCGTCTTTTAAAATTCTGGCAGTTAAATGCCTACAAAAACGACTGGTAAGGGACTACAACGAGTTACTTCCCAGGTCCGTTACGTCAAGAATCCAGAATTTTACATAAACTCCGCCTCCGGGAACACGCAGCAAAGGGGGCGAGGCCATGCTGCGCTGCTTTAGAGAAGAGGAAGAAAAAACTACAGGCGCACGTAAAAATCTATTCATATACAGTGGGGCAAAAAAGTATTTAGTCAGCCACCAATTGTGCAAGTTCTCCCACTTAAAAAGATGAGAGAGGCCTGTAATTTTCATCATAGGTATACCTCAACTATGAGAGACAAAATGAGAGAAAAAAATCCAGAAAATCACATTGTAGGATTTTTAAAGAATTAATTGGTAAATTCCTCGGTAAAATAAGTATTTGGTCACCTACAAACAAGCAAGATTTCTGGCTCTCACAGACCTGTAACTTCTTCTTTAAGAAATACTTTTTTTCCCCACTGTATGAATCGCAATTCTGATGGATTCACAAGTTTCAAAATCCATGTTCTATAGCAGCAGTTCTTAATACTGTTCCTCGCTTCCCCCTGCTCTACACACGCTCTGCATCTCTCTCTCTCTCTCTCTCTCTCTCTCATTCAGATCATCAGCTCAGTGAATACACTTATTTTCACATACTAGCTATGAGAAGCATTATACATGGACGCGCGTGCAGTTGCCGAACTGTATTAAAGCTTTAATCAGAATAAAACCGTATATTAAAAGCTAACAGAAGCAGTAGCATTTACAAATAACAGCGGATCTAAAAGTATGAGACAACAACAAACAAGAAACATAGACCTATCATTAAAAGCCATGCTTGCACAGGTTCTGCGCGATCCTCTCAATCGGGCTCAAATTGATAAGCAATATAGACAACGTCATTGTTTACAATACAACCGGAGCACATGCCGCTATGTTGAGGGGCGGGACGTTTAGACGCAAGAATAAAACCGTATATTAAAAGCTAACAGAAGCAGTAGCATTTACAAATAACAGCGGATCTAAAAGTATGAGACAACAACAAACAAGAAACATAGACCTATCATTAAAAGCCATGCTTGCACAGGTTCTGCGCGATCCTCTCAATCGGGCTCAAATTGATAAGCAATATAGACAACGTCATTGTTTATCGGAGCCCATCACGTATTTCTGAGGGAGGGGCGTCATAAAAGCAGGAAATGATCAGCGCGTTTAGAGGAGAAGGGACAGAGAGGTGTGGAATAAAGGTCAATTATGTGAAAAATAATGTGTTTTTTAACAAACGAAGCATTAACACATGTTAGACTGCACCCCATAAACACAATCAAGCCTATAAAAAAAACAGTCAACCACCCCTTTAAGAACCATTCATCTGGTCAGTTTACCTAATGTGATTTAATCCAACTAACTTTCTCTGATGTGTGTGTATGTTTAATTCCGGCCATGTTGTCCATGTGTTTTGTGGTACACCACCAGACAAGCTTTGCTTAAAAGGCTACATGATCCCCGGCACATCCTGAAATTAACAGGCTTACGGGACCATAAATTTCATTTATTTTCCCTGTGACCTGATTTCTTCTAGCGCTTTGAGAAGCTCTCTGTAGCCCTTATAGACAGGATCCTGTGGGAATTACTGCAGTTTAACCTTTCTTTTCTTGTTTTCATGCTGAGGAAGCGTTTCTGACTTGCTAATTTTGTCACAAAGTAATTTTGTCTTCGTACCATCAATCTAACTTTGTTCTGATTTTGAGGCATTTGTCACATGATTAATATTTCCAGCAGGATGTACATCACTGTCAGATTCACCTTGAAATTGACCTTTTATTAGCATGCAGTAAATGTGTGATGCTAAAACACAAGGCATGTGCCTGATTATTTATATTCTTTTTTTTGACAGAAGCAGGGCGAACTGTACAGCGTTTAGTCTTGACCCCGTTTTAAGGAGCCCGTGGTGGGCTAAGGTTTGACTGGGTCACTGTAATCAGGCAGCAGTCAGGCTTTACTCCAGTGTCATGACTTATGCTCGCTCCTGCTATGTATTTAAGCTTCACCTTCTGCTGACGGTTGTTCCTGTACTTTGTAATTTTAGAGAGAAGCTGACAGAAGATGCCAAAGCCGAGACGAGCAAAACGTCAAGCGTCCAAACGAAACCAGCAAGCGCTGCTGCGAACGTTGATCCTGACGACCTGTTCGATGATATATGACCCTCTTTAGGACCTAATGAGCACAGTTTGTGATGAGCATGGCTTTTGTACTGTTTTTAAACTGTAGGAGTAATAAAATTTGACTTTTTAAAAGTATTTTATAGTAAATATGAACTGGCTCTATAATAAACAATGAAAGTTTAAAAAAGAACACTACTTTTTAATGAAAAGTGAAGCAAAATTATGAATTTGTCCATTTTTAACTCTGTAAGTTCTGAATAAATCTAAAAAATGTGAATAAAGATGTTTTTCTCATTCCCTAAGTAGTGATCTTTCCAAATGGATTTTAAACTCAAACCTACTTTTAACTTTTATCATTTACTTTACTTGACATGGGGAAAAACAGCCTCAGCTGAGCTTTTGGTTTTTGCTGGTCTCCTAGCCTCATCAGGCTGGCCTGCTGGTTTTAGTGAGTTCTGGGCTTTTTCTAACTGGCCAGACTTAAACCATATAAGACCAGCAAACCAGTCTAAGCTGGGTTTTGAGGTGAATGAACTCCGAGCACGGAAAATACCCTAGCAACTTCATAGCAACGTGCATGCTTAAACTCTTCAGAAGACATTAATGACTGCTTAGCAACACCCTGGTAACCACTGACAATACCCAGTCATCAAGACAGGTAAGCACCACGCACATTCTTTAGAAAATGGAAAAAAAAAATGTTATATGTGCACTTTCGATTATCTTATATTATTGAGAAACTACATGGAATGTTTGTGCTTGAAGATTGATTTGTCACAGGAATGTTAAAATAAACAAAAAAAAATACTCAAATGTGATTAACAAAAACGATGAACATATGTAAACAATATTCCAGATTTTATTTTTTGATTAAATAAATGCAGCTTTGATGAACATAAAATGTAAAAAAAAATATCTTACCGACCTCACGATAGTATAAGGATTTAACCTTATATCTTGCTTCTGATTTGTAACCTCACACACCGTAATGGCTAAATCAAATGAATGGTGCTGGTTATTTCTAGAGGAGGTAACGGTACCGTCTCTCCCCCGTGTGGAAAGCTCCGGCAAACTCTTGTAAGTGGAGTTGGGCAGTTCCCATCAGTTCACAAGAGTAATTTGGTCACTTTCACACCCCTTAATAACCCAGTAACTCCATCAGCACCTTCTCTGTCTAATTATCAGTGCTCTGTCAGACCGCGCAGTGAGATATGGATGCGCTTTTACGCACGATTCCGCGTAACAGACAAAGAGCTGCCTGATGGTCAACACTGCGAATGTTTCTGTAAAATGAATGCTGATTTCATTTGCAAAGTTGAATCGAAGACTGTCACTTATTTTAGCATTTACAGGTACGTGCAGTTGGACACTGAACTGGACATTTTCCACGGTTGTGCGCAACGCATTCATAATAAAGTTAGTAAGCGAAACAACTAATTAACTGGTTTTGAATTACTTATAACCCAACATACTTGTTCAAACTAATTAGTGACTCAAGGTCCAGTTTGCACCAATTCGAAGAGCGCCGAACATCCCTGTTCCTCTTCAGGAGGATAAATCGGATTCATTTTGGGTGGGCACTTTCTGCCCCTCCTCTGCAAACTGACGAAATCATGGGTGGACATGGAATTTGAACTTGCTGCTGGCTCATGTCTCCAGTCTTTTCGTGGGCACCAAGGAAAGAAAGAGCACCTAAGTCTGCTGCTGGGTTTTGGCGCATCAGAAATATTTGCACTTTTTGTGAAGGATTGCATTTCGAGAATCAGGAATAGCCAAGATTGTCTACAGGAAAAGGTCAGTTCTATTCTATTCTATTCTATTCAAACAATTATGTCCTAATTGATAAGTGATAAATATTGACTATTATTTCACATTAATCAGCATTAGTCATTTGCTGTGGTTAATATCCATTGCATATTAATTTGACCATGTTCTGCTCAGCATCTTTTGATATTAGAGCAGATTTACTTCAGTGCATCTCTTTTTTCCCTCATTTGATTGTATTGTCAGAGCTTGTCTGTCACCCTGAAGCTTTGTTTGCGTTTGGCATCTTCTCAGTGCAGATCCACTTATCATTTTCTCATCATTATCAGTGTAATACCAGCTCTGCATAAATGCTGATAACTGAGAATGTGAGCTTTGGATTAATTTCAGAAAAGATTTTGGATTTCGTTTGGTCTGGTGTGATTGATCTGTTTTTTGGGATTTGTAAAAGCTTAGACTTTTTGGTGTTATTAAAATATGTGTTTTTAAAGATTGACATTGAGTAAGTGCTACATGATGACAAAAGTAAGTTAACTTAAAATCAGGAGAAATGAGCATGTGCAGTATTTAAAATCAACTAATACAATGATATATTTAAAAAATCTGTAATATCGGGCAGTAACCGATATGATACCGATATATCTAGCAATCACTGTAAACCAGCTTCCAATTCCTTAGCACTTCCTGTGTGTCGTATGCTAAACGACTACTTCCTTTCTGCTACACTATTTTAGTTTTGCTGATGTCCTATTATAGTTTTTTTTAAATATATTTTGAATGATTAGAATATTAAAGTATTAAAATAATTTTAACTTTAGTTAACATTTTAGTAATTTATATATATATATATATATATATATATATATATATATATATTATATACTATATCTTTATAGTTTTCATTCAGTTTTAGGGTTAGCTTTAGTTATTTTACTTAAACTTGTTTTATTTAAGCTATTTGCCTTTTTTATTTTTGTTTAGTTTGTTTTATTTTCTAAGTTTTATATTTCATTTCAGTTAATGTTTATTTTATTCAAAGTATTTTTTTTCAGTGGTTTTAGTTAACGATAATAACCCTGGTCTGCTAAAAGTGACTACATAATATGAAACACATAATATGAAACTCTTATGTTTTTTTTAATATTTTAGTTAAGCAGTATGGTTAAAATATTATCTTGTCTCAATGGAAGCAGAACATTTGAGTGTTGTTTCAAAGCTTCCAGCCGATGATTTGCTGTGTCTGCTCTTGGGTTCCTCTCTTCCATCTGCTTCTTGTTTGCAGACTCTGCTCGTAGGATGAAGGTGGAGAGGAGTTCTCCGGTGCAAGGCTCGCTGGCGGAGCAGGTGGTCCTGCCCTGCCATTTCTCCATCATCCCACCTCCTACCGGCAGCACCAGCACCTCCACCACTGCAGCTGCGGCCATGGCCTCCAGCACCCACCCGGACCATCTCCGCATCAAGTGGACTAAACTCGTGGGCAATGAGGAAATCGTAGTGATAGTGACCCAGAATGGGTTCCTCAAGATTGGGCCGGAGTTTAAAGGCAGGGTATCAGTTCCCAGCCACCCCGAGGACAAGGGCAACGCGTCTCTGTCCATAGCGAGGCTCAGGGCCAGTGATGCGGGTGTTTACCGCTGCGAGGTCATGCACGGCATTGAAGACACTCAAGAGTCCGTCTCCCTGAACGTCAATGGTCAGTCATTCTCTATGCAAATTATGAAAGCCATACATGTTTCTGGTGGAATTAATTATATGTTCTCTATTGACTTTCCTCCAACTGCCAGTCCATTTTGTTACAGAATGGCCACTTTTCAGGATCTGGGTTTCATCCATAAGTAAAACTGGTTTAAAAAAGGCTATAATGTAGGATATAAAAATAATCAAATTATTTGTTGAATGTATAACGGAGTACAAAAAAAAAATCATAATATAAAATACAATATTATTTAAAAAATATTATAATTAATAATTCATTAATATGACATGTTCATTTTAAGATTAGCTAAAGGTTAGATTTGTTATTTTATATATTTATATATAATTATATTTTTAGATTTATAGATGTTATTAAATTATTAGTGTTTTTTTTTAATAGACAACAAAGGTAATCTAAATGTAGAAATAGGGGAAATTAGCATGAAAAAATTAATAGTTTAATTATAATATTATAATTAAATATTAATTAATACGTACTAAATATTATAATTAAATATGAACTAATATTAATATTATTTCAATGCTTTAATGTTAAGTGAGCACACTTTTTTATGATCCAGTGAAGTTCGGCCCTACATTCGTCTCACGTTTCATCCGGAAATATAATATATAGTTATATTGTCTTTAAATATTAGACTACGAGGGTAATCTAAATTTAAAAATAGAGGTAACGAGCATGCAAAATTAAATATTTTGACTATAATCATATTATAATTAAATATTAATTAAATCTTATTACATTTTGTAATTAAATATTAGTTAATATTATTGTAAGATTTTATCTTTAAGTGAGGCCAATTTTCATGATCCAGTTAAATCCCGGCCTACATTTTTCCTGCATTTCATCTGGAAATACATCATGTTATGAAGTAAAATGGGTTGCGAAGTAATATACGATATGAAAATATAAATACTATTTATTAAAGTGAAATTGTGATTTTGTAAATATTATAATTAAATATTCATTGATATTAAATATTCATTTTGATATATGCAAATTATTAGATTGATCATTTTAGATATATAAAATTATATTTTTAGATTTATCAGTGTTATTCCATTATTATTGTTTTTAAAGATTAGACTACAATGGTGATCTAAACTTAAAATAGGGGAAATGAGCATGGCAAAATGTATTTAATTATTCTTTACCATAATATATACCATATATATTTTCTCATATATTTGCTCAGAACGTTGCGAAATAAAATGGTGTTTCTTTAACTACCTTCAGCAGGATTCCCATTGGCAAAGTTGTTCAGCAATGGCTCTCAGATGTGCTGCACTCTTTTACTCTCGTAAGCATATGTGATGATGTAATTAGTCATCGCTAGCCAAAATGGAACAGCGTTCTTGTCAGGAGACAAGGGGGAAAGATTATTTTGCTTTAGAGTCTGGAAAAATCACTTTCAGAGTCTGCATTTCCCTCGAATCTTGACAAGGCCCTATTGTGTTTCTAAGTAATAGAAAAGAAGGGTGAATGATTTGTTTGAATCAATACAAGAACATTTTCAAACTTTTTTGGGTTCCTTGAATGACTGCGTTATGAACGAATGTCTTAAGAAATCGTTCAAGCCAAAAAGGTTCCTAACATTATTCATGCAAGAACTTAACTTGTATTAAACCTGAAACATTTAGAAAAAGTCAAAGGAACTGTGCTAAAAAATCGTGTTAGGTGACAAACAACACTGTATTTGTTTACAGCATGATTATGTGCAGTAAAGCATGAGCACATCTGGCTCAGATGAGACGGTGGTGTTGGAGTGTTTGTAGGCCCAGAGAGAGCCCTGTGCCTTCCTGCCAAATACACTCAATGCCCTCTTTTGGGCCCTGGGCAGCACTGATTGCCACTCAAGGGTAGCACCTACCCAAAAAACACACTGCCATCCCTCTGAGGAAAGAGCATTCAGAACCTGACTCGTCAGCCAGCAGCTCTGCTAATGCACCAAAAAAAGACTAAAAAAGCCCATAAAAGGACAAATAGCAGTCAGACTGCATGGCCTCTTCTGAGCCTTATTAGTAGTGTTTGCTAAAGCAAATATCAGTGTGCTGAAGTATTAAATTCAACATGTAACTCAGCATGTTTGAGCTATGCAGCTATGAAGCTCAACTTATGTTGTTTGTCTAAGTGAAAAACGGTGAACAGATACCTGTGATTTAGGAACCAGAAGTGCTTTTTTTATTGTTAAATTTATTTCTCATTTTATTTTATTTTTCATTTGCAAACCTTCTTCTAAAAGTTGTATCCATAAATTCATCCCCTTTCTAAGTCTAAGTGAAAAAGGGTGAACTAAATAGGAACTATAATACATTTTTTTATTCTTAATTTTTAAAAAATTGTATATATATTATTATTATATATTATTATTATTTTTTTCCCATTATTTAGCTGTTAGACAGTTTGCGCAGTAAAAGCCTCTTGGAAAATTGTATTTTATTTTATTAATTTATTCTATTCTATTCTATTCCTTATCCTTTCTTGGAAAAGTTACATCCATAAATGAATTCTCTTTTATTCATACACATGCAGATGGATGTCTTAGGCCATTGCATTATGCATTGTTTTTTTCTTTTTCTTTCTTTCAATCTGCCATAAGCATAGTGTTTTAAAGATGTTTTGTCTAGTTCAAAATAGTTCAGAGTATTTCAAAACTCTATTTTTAAGTGGCTATGTCATGTCAGATAATTGCCTTGTGTAAGTTCAGAGCACCATTTAGGGATACTGTATGGGGAAAATAGTTCAAATAAGTGTATAAAGAGTGGAGCGATAAGATCAGTTTTGAATCTTTGGTCCTGTGTAATGCTGTGAGAGCGATTACTATTCAGATCATGTTCAGCATTTGACACAACAGGTATCTAAATAGCTGAACAATACAATGATTCTTCTTTTTTGCCAGACAACAGCTTGCTGTTGTGGCTGAAACGTCCAATGTTCAGAACAAAAGCCGCCGCCTTTGAATCTAGGGATTCCTCAAAATAGCAGCCCATTTGATCCCATTTGTTGTTAGATTAAGTCAAATATGCATATCATGACCATACCTGACTGGAAAGAAAATCAAATTGTTGAAAATATAAATTTGGGGTTGGTTGGATTTTTATAATTTTTTATGTTTTTGAAAGAAGTCTCTTATGTTCACCAAGGCTCATAAGTAAATACAGTAATATTGTGAAATATTACTACCATTTAAAATAACTGTTTTTAGTTGAATATATTTTAAAATATTCCTGTGATCAAAGCTGAATTTTCAGCATCATTACTCCAGTCTTCAGTGACACGTGATCCTTCAGAAATCATTCTAATATGCTGATTTGCTGCTCATGAAACATTTCATATTATTATCAGTGTTAAATGTCTTTACTGTCACTTTAGATCAATATAATAAGTCCTTAATGAGTAAAAGTATTAATTTCTTTCAAAAACGTCAAAAATCTTACTGACTTCAAACTTTTGAATGCTAGTGTAGATGGTGGTCTTGTCAGGTATACAAAAATATATGAGTGTATCACAAAAAAAAAACTCAAAATTGCTATATAAGATTTGATCAGATCAGTTAGTTGTTTACCTTTGGGTCATGAGCTTGATTTTTGTTGTCTCACAGGTGTTGTGTTTCATTACCGTGCCAACACCAGTCGCTACACTCTAGATTTCCAACACGCCAAGCAGGCCTGCACTGATGTGGACGCAACCATCGCCACCGCAGAGCAGCTTCATTCAGCCTACGAGGACGGATTCGACCAGTGCGATGCCGGATGGCTGGCCGACCAAACCGCCAGGTGATTTGTTCAGCTCCAGACTCAAATCTATGAAGTCATGCTATCTACATTTGAATATGACTGATATGAGAAGTACATCTGGGGTTGTTCTCCACAGATACCCAATAACAATGCCACGTGAAGGTTGCCATGGCGATATGATAATGAGGCCAGGAGTCAGATCATACGGACTCAGAAATTCCTCCGAAATGTATGATGTGTACTGCTATGCAGGAAAACTACAGGGTACGTTTAGAAATGAGCTACCGAGGGAATGGGTTTCTCTTCACGTGAAACACATGAGAGAGTCATGCTGTGTTCACGTTGTGTCAGAATTACTGTAATTATGAGATGACAGTTTGGAAAGTCTGCTCTGAGCTGATTACATCCTCACGCACAAATTACTTGTTACTATGGCAACGTCGAAATAGATTTTTTTTTTTTCTTCATTGCAGTAATGAGAATTTGCAGGGAAAATCCAGTCTTAATGAAAAAAATCTTAATGTCCAATCCATGTTTGGTTTTATTGGTGAGCGATAATTTACTGTATTCTCTTGGAAAAAGGTCATACTTTTTTTTTTTTAAACGAAAACTTATTGGGTGAATCTCACAGAAATGATTACGATATTATAATATAAAATAATTTAAAAAAAATTTAAATATAACAAACATTACAATAATGTAAAAACACTTTTTTTGTTTTATTTAAATAATATAATTATTTAATCAGATTTTTCACAATATAAAATAGTTCGGTAACACTTTATTTTAAGGTGCCCTTGTTACACGTTACATGTACTTACTATTATAATAACATTTAATTATGCATAATTGCATTCAACTAACCCTAAACCAAATCCTAATTCTAACCATATAGTAAGCACATGTAGTTAATTAATATTACTCAGTACTTAAGTGTATAATTACACTGCAACAAGGACACCTTAAAATAAAGTGTAACCAATACTTCTTTTTTTTTAAATTACAGTAATAAGAATCTGGAGGGGAAATTGAAATTAAATAGATCCATGTGTGGCTTTATTGGTGATTATAGCAATCTAATTTAATCGCATCAGTAATTTACTTCTATATTCTGTTGCAAAATGTATTGATAAAGCAAATCCTAAAACTTACTGTGTCACCCCAACATATATATATATACACATACACACACACACACACACACACACACAGAAATACATTTTATGCACAAATACTTGATAAAATAGTTACCTTTTGAGTAAATGGACTATTTCATTTTTAGTATTTAGTTCTCTTTTAGTAGAAGTGCATTGTCGGAATGCCTTATTTGTTAAGAATATGCAATGCACAAAAGGTGATGTGTTATTGTGTGTGTTTAATCTCAGGCGAGGTGTTTTTCGCTGATGCTGAGATGACTCTAGATGAGGCCAGGGAGGAGTGCGAGAGACGGGAGGCAGTTTTAGCGTCTCCAGGTCACCTGCATGCAGCCTGGATGGCCGGCTTGGACCGCTGTGACTTCGGCTGGCTGTCTGACGGCAGCGCTCGCTACCCCATCACTGTACCCAGAATGCAGTGCGGCAGAGGACAGCTGGGTGTGAGGACTATGTACCGCTTCCTCAATCAGACCGGATTTCCTTTACCGAGCAAGAAGCTGGGAGCTTTCTGTTTCAAAGGTACGTCTTCATAAAATGCTCATGACAAAAAACGAATCCTTAAAACTTACTGGGTGAATCTCACAGAAACATCACAATCAAAAGAAGAAACTAAGAAATTATTAATTCACATGTATATCAGAATAATACATAAATATATATCAGCAATATTTATAAAAGAAACAAATTTTTTTTTTATATTTTCATTAATTTTAAAGAAAATTAAGCCTGTTTTTAGGACCATTAGGCAAGAAATATTACCAATACTTTTTTTTAAACAATTTTATTTTTAATAATATCATATATTAATATTATCAAAATTTAAAACCCCTTTTTACAAACAACTCATGTTGATCAAAGGCCTAATAAAATTAATAAAACTAACAAAATATATATATATACGTGTGTGTGCGTGTATATATGAAAGGTTTTTTGTTTATAAATATAATCATATTTTTATTATTATTTAAATAATATAGTATACCTATATATTAATAATATCATAAATTAATAACATAAATTATAGCACATTTCCACAAACAATTGATGTTGATCAAAGGGCTTTACACATTAAAAACAAACAAATATCCTTTTATTTTATTTCAGAAATATATATTACTTAATCTTTTTTCCCCACAATAATTATAATTGTTTTATTCAGTAAGGAGCATTTAGAGGGAAACTGTCACAATTTGAAGAAAAATATTACAATCTGGTCCTAAAAATATTAAATGTATATTTTTATTTAAAAAAAATTTAAAAAGTAAATAAATATTATTTTATGGAAGTATCTAATTTCTTTCTATGAATCTTGAGATGAAATATAACACAGACACGTTCTTTGACAGGGTTCGAGAGATTCACGCAACTCTCCGTTAGTGCATATTTCTCATGATATTGTTTTGCAGGGGCGTCTGTTTTGCTGTGATATCATAACAGCTGTGACTCCGAGCGGACCTTTCCTCGCTCTGCTAGCTGGGTGGAAGCAGAATAATTAGTTCTCTCCAGGGCGTCCTCAGATTTCATCTGTTAAACCTCTGTCCTACGTCTAGCTCAAATATGTGCCTTAAAATGGCAAACTAACTGACCTGTTTTCAGGTCAATTCCGCTGCCCAGAATGACTACAGCCTTTGAACCCCATAACTGTCCTGCTGGGGGTTGTTTAAACTCTCCGTCTGCACAACCTCAGTCATCACTCGAGAGGAAAAGTGGAAACAGGCCACACAAAAACAGCGCGTAACATGCATTTAATCCGATTTTACATGGGGTATCTCCTTTTCGCCCCCTACCTCCAGGGATTTTGTGGCTTTCCTGTAACCGGTCTTGAAGCACTTCTCTTAAATGGGCTTCTACCGCAGAGTACCGCAAAACAAACAAAAGCACTCTGGGTAGGCCAGAAAAGAGCGTGGAGGGCAAGAGCTCCCCACTATAATATATAAACAAGCGCTAGAGGGGGGATGTAGCTTCCTTTTGTGCTGTTTCAAGATCACTGGGGTTTTATAAGGGAAAAAGATGCCTGATGTTTTACATCAGAGGCGCTGCATAGAAAAGAGGACACATCCCTAACGTCTAACAGCTGGCTTTGTGTGTCCACACACTGAGCCAGAGACAAAGAAGCAGTGAGATACCCTTGTCATTAGCAAATGTGGGAGGCTTTTTGTCATCATTCAATCACCCTTATGTATTTATCTTCTTACTGTATGTTGTTGAATCCTGATTATGTCATGTTGTCGTAGCATTCAGGTATTTTATAATCTGTTAGCCTGGTCATGATGTATGCAGGCTTACAGAAAGATGAAGACAGAGCCACATTTGAAGAGACTGAAGGCAGCAGAAATGGGTGTGGGCCTTTGTCTGCACACAACACTCTGCATAACTTTTGCATTATGCGTCTGAAATGCTGCTGGTGTAAAAACGGACTCAAAAGAACATAAATTGTCAAATGCGGTAAATGCGGAAAGAACAACAATTGTTGGTTAGTACTGAAAACAAGCATTTTGTTGCATAAGTCAGACCAAATTGTCAGTGAAATGCTTCTAAGAACATGCAATAGATAGAAATTAGTGTAGTTTTTTTTTTCCCTCAATAGTACATTGTACATTCAACATATTAAACAGACATATACTATCACTTAAAAGTGTGGGGGTCAGTAAGATTTTGTAATGTTTTTGAAAAAGGTCTCTTCTGCTCACCAAGGCTGCATTTATTTAATAAATAAATAAATACAGTTAAAACAGTAATATTGTAAAATATGATTAAAATTTCGAATTACTGTTTTCTATTAAAATATATTTTAAAATATAATTTATTTCTGTAATGACAGGTGAAGTTTCAGCATCATTCCTCCAGTCTTCAGTGTCACGTGATCCTTCAGAAATCATTCTAATATGCTGATTTGCTACTCAAGAAACATTTCTTATTATTATCAATCCTGTTAGATTTTTTGTGGAAACCGTAATACATATTTTTCAGGATTCTGTGAATAGAATGTTCAAAAGAACAGCATTTATTTAAAATAGAAATCTCTTGTAACAATATAAATGTCTTTACTGTCACCTTTAATCAATTTAATGCCTCCTTGCTGAATAAAAGTATCAATTTATTTAAAACAAATTACTGATCCCAAACTTTTGAACAGCAGTGTATGTCTATCTCTCCCAGCCTCATTTTTATTAGTGAAAAATTTTAAATGGCATCTAGCTTGGCCTTATAAGGTCTCATGCTGCTGTCATTAAAGGAAAAGGAGCAACACTACACTCTTAAAAATAAAGGTGCTTCACGATGCCATAGAAGAACCTTTTTGTCTAAATGGTTCCATAAAGAACCTTTAACATCTGAAGAACCTTTCTGTTTCACAAAAGGTTCTTTGGGGTGAAATAAGTTTCTTCAGATTATAAAAGGGTAAGAAAGAGTTGGTTCTTTAAAGAACCTTTGACTGAATGGTTCTTTGTGGAACCAAAAATGGTTCTTCTATGGCATCACTTGAAGAACCTTTTGAAGCACCTTTATTTTTAAGTACTAAGACATCCTCAAATCCATGTATATTTTTTAATTCAGCAAAATAGAAGCCTTTTCACTTGTACTTTCAGACTTTTGGACCCCCTCTATATTCCCCTGCATGCAGCCAGATGGGCGACTGCCATACATGTCATCATGAATGGTTTTTTACCGTGGTGTTGAAACCTCTTGCTAAGCATGAAACTTTTTTTACCGTCTGAGACAAACCTTTGGAGGCTTGCCAACACGTCATAAGCACAGCAGCTATATGTGTATGAACAGACAAGAGTGAACATTATAGTGTCGTTAACTTGGCCATTTCGAGTTTTTATATAGGTCAGTGAAAGTGCGTCAGAGTTAGCATGCACGTAGACAGCAGTGTTAGAATTTGATTTATCGATTGTGAGAATGAGATGACGTTGGCGCTTACATTATGAAACATTCCAAGTGCACTTATTCAGGACTATTTACCTACCGGTCGGAGTCAAAATACGTGGTTAGGCAAAATGCAACCTAGCCAAAAATGTTCTGGAAAGGAAGTTAAAGTTTCAAAATAAATATAAACTGTCAAGTTCTACCCGGTCATAGTGCATAATTTCCCCAAAATAACTCTTTACCAGCCAAAAAATTCCTCAATACTTAGACAATTCTGCTGTTATTGGCATTTTGTAGAAATATCTTGACTTTGCTGCCAGGAATTGCATTTATTGCACTTACTTGGTCAATATTGATAGACTGAGGGCTGTGTCTTATTTGGGATAAAACTGCAAAAGTATTCTACAGTGCTCACCTGAATATCACCTAATAAAGGTGTCAGTATCATCTATCACTATTTTATGTATGGAGACATATATACTGTTTATAGGTTGACAATGTGGCACTTTTGACATTTCTCTTTTTGTTTGGGCAGTCTGATTTGTCAGCTGTTGTCAGTAAATTGTATGAATACAGGTCAGACGAGCTGAACAACTGAAGCCATTTACAATTGAAAACCTTTATTTTTATTTCATCTTAAGAAGTATTTGAGAAAGGCTTGGTCAAAATTAGATCTGTCCTTTTCTCTCTGTTCTCAGGATGGGATCCCACAACTGTACCCACAGCTGGACCTACAACACCTCCAGTTCTCTCAGACACCCATCAAATCTCTTCTCTTAAAGCAATCTCTTCTATGCCAGCCCATGGCACCACAGAAGATTTACCATCCATGTTCTCTGCGAGCATGGCTCCACGCGACAAAGGCTCTCCTGAAGTGCATCCCTCTGCTAAAGCCATTGTTGTTGTACCAAATGAAGCTAAGACAATTTCGGAGATGGAAACCACAACCACATTTAATGACTATGGCAGCTCTTTGGACAAAGACAGCTCCTTGGTGCAAGGGGTACCCCATGATGTTATGCCCCATTATTCAGATTCCTTCTTATTTTTCCAGCTACCCCGTCAGCCAGACTCAGAGAACATGCATCCTGGGTTGGATACTCCGCATGGGGAATCCAGTGGTGTGGAAGGTACCAGCAGGTCTGACACGGATACTCCTGAGAGTGTGATTCCTGCTTCACCTGTGTTTGTTATAGACTTGCAAGGAGATCCAGACAAGCCACAAATTGTGTACAAAGATAATAAAACCAGAGCAAACATGACTGAAGAAAGTCTGGACTTGTCCACTTTGAAAAGCTCACGTTTAAGTGAAGAGAACTTGCAAGGCCAGCAGAATGAAACCACAAAGGACGTCAACTTTCCAATGGGCATCAATTTGTTTGTATACAACATTACGCAGAGAAATCAATCAGGTAGGTCAGATGGAAGTTAAGAAAATTTAGTTGATGCAAAAAAAAAAAAAAAAAGTTTATACAGAAGCTAAATTTTACCAGAGCAAGACAGTATACAAAGATATAATACATTGACTTCTTGCTCACATGAACCAGTTTTGCTTGCCCTTTCATGTTTTGGAGTGGCAGTGTTTTTCTGTGATTGTTGCTTGTCCAAAGCAGCATGTTGTAAATGAGTGACTTGGTTTAGGAAACACCTAGATGCAAAATGAATGTAGATCTTGGCTAAAGAGAGGCCAAATTTGGCTCTGTCAAGATGTCTGCTGCTGTTTTGCAAACAAAAGATTTGGACTTGGTTCTTCAATTTCATGCAATTGCTTTAATATTTGGTTTGTGCCAAATCTTTACCTCATCCAGAAGCATAGCTAAACTAGTAGTGCTGCCTATATGCATAAAAAGGAGAAGAGAAAAGAGAAAAAGATCTTCCATGTCTTCCCATGACCTTAATTGACTTCCCGTGTTGCTGGAAAGAGTGATGAGGTTGATAAACATCTGTAAATAGACTGCAGCCAGTGTTCCTGTCTTGTAGGTCCTGTGGGTTGACATTAATCAGTTGACCCATTTATACCATTTGGTACTGTTAAAGGGGCACCTACTATAGTAAAATATCAGGGAGAGACAGAGGTGTTGAGTGTGAGAAAGAGTAGCTCTCAAAGCCACAGACAAATGCCTCCTGGGTCAAATGGCAAAGCCCCTTAAAACAATCAGCGAAGTAATCACTGCAAGCTAATTACTTTTCCCTACCTCGTCCAGTCTACAGATCAGGTTACCATGTGTGGCTGCTAGTGGGTCCACCGAAGGAAAAGTATATTTTGTTATGCATGTTATTGAAGCCTTGAGGATGTAGTAAAATTTCTGGCAATATTTCACACATTTTAACTGCGTAATGTAACAGTAGCTGGAATGACTTTGTTTAATTTTGAACTATTTAAAAATGAAAAGGGTCTTGTAATTTTGCAATATAGTGACTTTAGGGTCTCACAGGGGACATATCACTGAATATAATTTATAATAAGCTTTTCGCTGTATATAAGTAGAGCCATTACTTATGTAGAAACAATAATCAGTAATATCTTTCTTGACCCCCCCAAAATCATAACTTGATGTGAGCATTTTATTTGCCTCAAGTGAGACTCTAGCCATTAAGTGGAATATATATGCAGTGCTAGATTCTAAGATGTCTATAAAGTTATTTGACAAAAGTCCCCCAGGACTGGAATTGAAAACCAGTGACTTAAGTGTGTGTGTAATGTATTTGAACTATTTGTTTGCAGGTGATGCTTTTGATACTGTGGGAGTTGATGCTATTCTGAAATTCCTTGGAGTACCAGGGCTCTCTAGTCCACTTCTAACATCTGTTGAAAGTGAGCCACCTTTGGGCAGTGGAGACATTTCAGGTGAAACATATCCATCAGCTTCTGTTACCATCACCCCAAAAGTGAGTTTCATTAACGGAAAGCACGAGCTGACTCTGAAACCGGACACTGACCAAACTCAGGAGGCTAGAGGAGACCAGTTTGACACTGCTATCCCACCAACAGAAGAAACCATCCCTGATGATATGATAGAAATACTTACAGAGGAGGCTGAAGGCACCACATCTTCCCCTGAGACAGATGAATCTGACTCACTGACCAGAAGCCCAATTGAGCCCCATTTCACAACAAAGAGCCTGGAAAGTATAACCACGACAGAGTTGCCCACATTTGCAACCAAATCCTCAAGCCAGGAGATGACCCCACAAGCCATATCATTTAGCATGCACAAAGAAGGTTCAGGGATGGACACAACAGATGATGAAGAGGAATTGACCCCCTTGGAAGGTTCTGCGGATGACACACTTCCAACAACTAATGACCTATATGTGGTGGCTACCGACGAGACTGAAATAGCTGAAACAGAGAAGACTACACTGGCATTTGGGGTGGACTGCAGTACCAAAGGACCAATTGTTACAACTCCAGAATCCAGCACTGTCGAAATTAAGAGAACCGAGAACAGAGAAACGAAACCAGAAACAGAAGATTTTGAGGGCTCAACCTCCACTGAAGACGAGGGCTCGGGGGAAGATATATATGCAACAGAAGAATCAACAGAATCAAAACAACCAACTTTATCTCCATCTTTCACTGTTTCATCTCACAGCTTTACAAGTTCCTTAACAACTACTCATCCCAAAGAGCCTAGGCAACCTGTTAGTTTGGCTTTGCCCAGTGCAGATCCTACGATGCAGGTGGTTTCAACTTTTCAAACAGAGGCAATCCCAGAAGAAAGCACTCCTTACATTACACACTCTGAGAAAGACCAAAACAGAAGTACAGCTAAGAGTCCTTTATTGGTGCCCGAGATTGAAAAAGACGTAAGTGCAATCTTCACCATCTCTGAGGACATCGGCTCTGGTGATCAGCCAACTGAAGCATTCTCTAAACAACCTTTCACTGCAACTAATGTTCTATCTCTTCTCATTAAACAAACTGAAGAAATGAGTGTTGAGGCACATGATGAAACAACTAAAGTATTTGAAGGTTCTGCAGAAGACACAACACCACTGATTTTCACTAGTGTCCAAACTCAAACAAAATTCACAACCCAAAGTTCAGAGACCACCATTCTGCTCACTGATAGTCTTAGAGCAGTAATGTCTCGCTCCCAAGAAACTGCTCTAATCCAAAAATCACCATCAGAAGAGACAACCACATCAGTGCAGTCATCAGAGACTTCAGGCTCCCAAGAAACCGTTCTAATCCAAAAATCACCATCAGAAGAGACAACCACCTCAGTGCAGTCATCAGAGACTTCACGCTCCCAAGAAACTGCTCTAATCCAAAAATCACCATCAGAAGAGACAACCATTTCAGTGCAGTCATCAGAGACTTCAAAGGAGACAACGCAAGAAATATCACTTTCTACATTTGGATTCCCAACTGAGAAGCCTCTCACCTCATTTAGCCAAGTTTCCAGTTATCCCACCACCAATGTTGTTACCAACTTAAATGTGAAAGAGCCAGTTCAGGTCTTGGATAGGGGAACTACTTCTGCTACAGAAGACGTTTTCACCTCCCCCAAAGCCACAAGTACTGTGATATTTGAAGAGAATGTTGTAGATTTTGAAGATGTGGCGGGTCCCTCAATTGTTCAAAGACAACCATCATCCAGAGAAGAGTTCACCGCAAGAAAACCAGAAGTCTGGACAGATTCCAGCTACACTGTTGAGAGCCATATGGAGGTTTTGCAAGGTACAGTTCCAAATATTTTTGTAACTCATACAGTATATTGCTTAAAGTGGTGTAAATGTTATAAAAATTGTTCCTCTCTTGAGGTTTACAAAATTTTTGAATTACTCTGCTTTGTAGTCCACTTATCCATAATGGATTTGTCCATCCACTAATAGATGTTACTTTGATATTTCAGGTCTCACACTTTGCTCTGTCAGTGTGTGTGAAAATGGCGGAACTTGCTATTCTAATGGAAAAGGAAACATATGTGTCTGCATGCCTGGATTCAGTGGGGAACATTGTGAAAATGGTTTGAGGCCTTTAATATTTTCACTTTTGATGGACACGATTAAAGTTTCTGAGTAAAGTAAGACATTTTCATGTCCTAATTCCTGCAGAAATTGACGAATGCCAGTCAAACCCTTGTCGCAATGGTGGTACATGCATTGACGGGTTAAACGCTTTCAGTTGTGTCTGTCTGCCCAGCTATTCAGGAGCCCTCTGTGAGCAAGGTATGAAATCAACACTGACATGGTACTATACAATTTTTTTAATTGGGGTAATATATGAAATTCTTGAAGGAATATTTTTGGGGTTTTTTGCAATTAAATGTGGACTGTGGCATGCTAGCAGGTTGCTAAGCAATTCTATCACTTTCATGCTAACACATAATGTCTATTGTAACTTACGGTTTATTTTTCAAATGTTGCAATGATTGCATATTTTAAACATTTGTCTGCCTGATTGATTGCTAGGTTTCCATTGTAAGTGGAATAAAATATAACTCCTAAGTTAATGGTAGGAGCTGTTGGATGGAATATGATATGATTTAGGGTGCTAGTTTCTAAATAGTGACCTATGGCTGTTTAATAAATCCACTGAAGCAAACGGTATACAGTATGGTGGTCAGTCAGTCCAAACTGTTAGCATGGGCAAACCAAACCACAAAGTTCACCACATCTGTCAGGCCTGATTCTCCAGAAGGTGTACGGTATGGTGTCCAGAGGAATGAAAGTGGATTTGTGCCAACAATAAAGTTCAGAGAAAAGGTCACAGTCAGCGACGGTAATGCCTCTTCCCTTACACCCACCACACTTCTCACAAATGCTGAGCAATTCGATGAACCATTGCTGAGCCAACTGACTTACTTGGCATGGTCCCAGGAACATCAGTGTGGCTGTGTAAACAATGAGTGCATTTTCCTTCAGTCGGCTCATCATACTCATCCAGGCATGACTTGAGTAGGTCCCATATTTAGGTTGTGACTTTTAGAAGACTTCAGAAACTAATTAAAGCCAGCATGAAATGACGTTTGCAACACACTGAACTTCCGTAATGTGCATATTTCAGTGGAATATTCAGCAGAAAAGGATCTAGGCTAGTACTTTTTGTGTCCAATGAGATTTGAGTTGAAACTGACATGTCAGGCTATGATATTATTAGGAGTGTGTGCTAAGGCAATAGCAATAGACTGGCTTAGATCTTCAGTGAAGCCATACTTTAGAGACCAGGAGCTGGCTGTGCAGAAACTACTTAGATTAATCTTACAATTTAGTAGAATTTTTTTTCTCTGTAAGACTGGTCAAATCTTTTTTTTCCTTTTAAAAAAAAATCAGTTACATGAAATGGCAGATTGGTATAATTTAAATATGAAAAGTAAGACTGATTTTAATTTGGTGAACTGCTAGTTGGTCAGATTAGTGCTTCTTGAGAGACAGTCTTAACATTGTGGCCTTTGTTAATGCAACTGGTCCCAAAATATCTTAGAGACATGGGAGTGGATCTAATAAGCAATCTTTTAGAATACCCTAGCAACCACAAAGCGTAGCCAGATCTTCAGAGTGACTGCAGAAGGTCTGGGAACCTTGGGCGCATTGAATGGCCAAGTACCGCCCAAGATGTCATATGACTGACAGGTAAAGCAACCAATCACGTTTCGGTTTGTGCCGCATAATTTTTAGGGGCATGGAAATGTCCCCACAATAATAGACCATGTGTAAAACTCTTGTATGTATTTTAAAGAGTCTATGCCGCAAACTTTACATATTTCACATACTTTTGAAAATTCAACGTTTAGGTGATCCTGATTGGCGCTCATTGTCACAGTTGTAAACACGACGGCTTTCTTTTTTCGTGGGGGGGTTTGGCATCATGGCATCTTTGTTTCCAGGTGGAACATTAAAGAATGCGACACACACGTCTCCTGGAAATCCTGTAGAATTCAACCAATCAGATGACAACTTTGAAACTCCCGAAGTGTTTCCAATTTTGTGTACCATATGCATCAGACGTTCAGCCAATGGTCCGTGGGCGTGATGTCTGAGGCTGAGACTAAAAAGAAATGTGCTTAAGCATAAGACATTAGCAATGATATAGCAACTAAATTGTGTACAATAAGACCATGGACATAATATTTAACATTTTGGGTTGGTTTGTTGGATATCATGATCTAACAATATTTTTAACGTGTTTAATAATCCAATGTTAATTTATACAAATGGAAATGTTAAATATGTATTAATATACAGTATGAAGAAATTAAGTTTAAAAGTTGCTTTAAAAGTGTTCTTCATTGTTCTTTTGTGTTAGCTATTGATTTAACTAATGTTAGCATATACTGTAGAACCTTATTGTAATATGATACCAGATCTATATATTGGCGTTAAACCATTACATGAGGCTTGAAGGGAGGACAAAGTAGGTGCCAAATCTGCTGTCAATCTGATCATTTAGTCTGGTCATTGGCTTGGCATTGTTCTGTGTAGAGGTTAGGCTTGGATATGCTTGAAATGGAAATACAATTTATATTTTGAGAGTTCAAATCACATTTACATACAGAGACTGTCTTGTTGGCATTCAGCAGAAGATTGGTTTCACCTTTAGTCTCCATTACCCATCAAAATGTTAAGTGAAGCTCTTCAAATGAAAATATCCCTTTTTGAATGGTCTGTTGTGGTTTTAATTTTGACAAACAACTCGTAAAAAAAGAAAGTACTGAATCTCTTTTTCACATGGCTGTGGACAGTGTTTGAGGATGATGAAGTCAAGCCATTCTCCTCTGATGATGTGAAGCAGGGCTGGGATTGATTTTGACAACGGTTTCTTGGCCCTTCTTTGCTGTTCCCTCATTAAAGGTGAGGCCCCTTAGGATTCTGGGAAGGCAGTTGTGATTGGCACATGGATCCATACTGGGAAAGCAGCTGGAATCAATTAATGCATCATAATTTGTCCAAGAGGCTCATGGAGACCCCTCTGAGTCACTTTGGGGACAAGCCACAGTATAGAAACTCCCAAACACCTGCCTGCATCTCACGTAGGACTTTCCCCTTAGCTTTCAACTATGAAAATAATCAGCTGACTTATGAATGAGAGCCACGTTTTTACTTTGAAGAGAGCTCAGGACTTGACATCTACGTGCACTTGCACTGGCTTGACAGTCGTGTTGGGCGTTGGTCCCCCAATGAATTGGTTCCAGCTTCATACTAAATATTGCTGCCATTAGTCAGCAGAGCTAATCTTCTCCATGCATAAACATCACTTTTGAGGACATCTGTTTTCTCAGGCTTTTTAGCCAAAGATCAGAGGAAATTGTAAAAAGCTGAACTCTTGCATTCCACATCATGTAAAAAAAGACCATAGTTTCACATTTAATACAGTTGTGTTTAATCAGTGAAACTGAATTTGGACCTTCAACGTTTAATCCGAAGCTGCTGCGTTAAACTTTGTTACATTGCGATAAATACCAATATTTTAGCCAAACTAGCAAATAGCATGAGACAGAACTTTGGAAAACCAGAGTTCTTGTCGTGACCAAGATGCCTAGCATGGAAAAAACCCCACAAATAACGCTCTGTTTATTTCTGACAAAAAGCCAAAGTTGCTTGCAATGGCCAGATGCTAGACACTGACTAGTGGTTAAAGTATTTTTCCTGATTGTCTATTTTACTTCTAGGTCTTGCAATATAAGTAGGTAATTTAAAAACCACCAAAGTCATGGATATTTTGTTCATATTTGCTCTGACCACAGTTTGACTACAGTTTTATTTTATTTATTTTTTAACTTAATTGTGCTATGCATCATGACATATTACACTTGGTCAATTTGGTTAAACTATTTGTTGTGATTTATCATTACTTTAAAAAAATATGCAACTTGAGACAACTGAAAGTGGAGGGACAATTTACTTTCTCAAGTAGATTGAAAATGTGTATATTATTGTAGCAATTACAATAGATTTTCAGTGGTTCTTGCTAATGTACATGCTCTATGGTATGATCTACTGGACGTTCAGGGCAAAGGACAAAGCGAGCACGTAGTGGTGCAAAATCAGTTAAAGAAAACAGCACTATGGGCCGTGTGTCTGAGATGATTTACTTGGCCTCATTTACTGGTGTTTTCTTTCCAGCCTTATTAGATGTCATTGTTTGCATTTAGCTTTCACACTGAGCACTGCGGTCATTGGCGGGTTTCAGTCCAAGCAAAATGTTGATGATCTTCATTGTATGGGATAGAATAAAAAGTGCTTTGCACTAGGTTAACCCAGTTAATGGCCGAACTCAAAACAGATATGGTTCTGTGCGTCCATTCTACACCATAACCGATTATACTTCATCTGAACGACAGGCTTGTTCATGGTTAACACAGAGGAAATACAGAGTCAATCATGAGACATCTCTTCTTTGATAAACTATGGGCACTGCGATGCTGCTTGTAGCTGTATCATGAATTACATAAGCATCTGCCCTTTGGTGCACTGATGTGGCTAACATTGTGGATGCTTATCCAATGTTTTGCATGTTTTTCTCATTTTTAGGTTTCTCATGTTTCCTTTTCTGTCATTCAAACTTTCAGATAAGGAGGTTTGTGACTTTGGCTGGCACAAGTTTCAGAGCCACTGCTATAAGTACTTCACACACCGGCGGACATGGGAAGCAGCGGAAAGAGAGTGTCGTCTGCAGGGTGGTCACCTCACCAGCGTCCTGTCCCATGAAGAGCAGCTCTTTGTTAATCGTGAGTTTATGATTTTATGAATGGTATTGCCAAAGCAGACATCAGTAATTTAATTGCTCACCCTTAATAGTTAATAACTCTTTTACTACTTAACTCTTTTAGTGTTGTACAGATGATGTATATTTGTAGGCCAACCCGGAAGTTCGCATCACCCTGGTTCCCTCGACAAAAACCCGAGATTTTTCCATTGGCTTTTGGATTATTGCTGAAAATAAGCTCTGTGACCAACAAAAGTTTATGATTCTTACACGTTTTGTTCATCATGCTAATCTTCACAAATGACCACAACTTGAAAGTTTGAGTTAGAACAGATTGCAAGAGTGCAATTATAAACCCAACGAGGCTGTGAAAGCGAATAGTGAGTAGATGAGTTTTCCTGTTTGGCGTGATGACTTTTAATGCCCACTATAACCTTTGTAGTCCCATTTAGACACTTGTTAGCAACCGCCTTTTTCAAGACAAGTAAAAGCTTTAAAAATAGCAAGGGGGTTTTACTGATCTATTTTATGTTGTCGAATAAAACGTGTAAATATCTTGAGCGTAGACCTTATTTCAGACATTTAAACAAAACCCCATTCAAAATACCCCGCTGACGTAAGGACTATGGTTCGGAAGTGCTAAAATACAAACTTGCCGGTTTTGGCCATTTGCAGCACTTCATAACAGTGCTCTAAAAACCACAAGAACAAGAACATTATATAGCAATGCTTTTGGCAAATACCCACAGCAGTGCATCATGGTAAGATTTGTGCAGGCACAATTTCATCAAATGTAAAAAATGGAGTTTCAAATTAGGCAAAAAACAGATACTCAGGACTAACTGAATTCTAGCACTGACTAAACAAACCATAAGTCATATTAAAAGTGCTGTTGACTCTAAACTAAACAAACGTCTTCTTGGCTCCTCGGGGCACAGAAACGATTTGTTCTACATTTGTTTGTGTCATTTGATGTGTGGTTTGGTTTAACTGATTTCCTGCTATTTCCACTTCAGCCAGGTAGTCTATTAAAGATGTCAAAGAAGTTTGCAAAGGTCCTTTACACATCCACTAGCTTAAAGATGTCTTTTTCTGTTTTATAAAATGCTTTCTCTTTCCAGTTTAATATGCAGAGACAACTATACATTGATTGGTTATCCCAAAGAGTATAAACACTGTGGTGCTATCAAAACATTTCCCTGTTTGTTTGAGTTTCCCGACCAGTCTGACACAGCCGTTTGAGTTTGGAGAGGGAACTTTCCATTTTTCCCCACCAGTATGCAGATACAAATAATAGAAATTAGTCAACCACACAACATGTCCACTTTGTCCCAAGTCATATGATAGTTTGTGTGGACTAGTGTGCAGAGATAGATCCTGAAATCTGTTTAATTGTCTTGTAGGTTTGGGGCATGACTATCAGTGGATCGGACTGAATGATAAAATGTTTGACAGTGATTTCCGCTGGACTGATGGACACCCAATGGTAAGATTGGATTCATTATTTTGATCCTAATAAAATCTGTTAATTAGATGCACGTCTGTGTTCCAGGTGAGCATGAATTCAGAGAGATGAGTCATTCTTGGTGTGGTTTTTTTCCGGCTTGCAAAAAAATGATGTCATTTGATCCTAAAATTAGTGTGAAGCAATTGTGCACACAGATTTTAAGATCACAGTATAAAAATTGCAAGTGCAATTGTTACTCTACCATAAACCCATACGCTTAGATGATGCTAATGCTGATGGAGAAGTTCTCACTTTAGCTACTAACTACTATCATCCTGTGTGGTATCAAATAGAAACACATAGGTCAAAAAGCAGACTTTAAAGCAGTGGTACTATTTATTTATTTATCTGTTTAAATTAATTTCTAATAATTGTTTTTGACATTTTTTATTTATTTATTTGGCTGTTTTATTCGTTAATGTATGTTTGTTTATTTATTTATTTAAATTGCATAAATCAAAGTGCAAAACTTGCAAAAATGGGAATTTTGCAAAAAATAAAATGTGCAAAAGTTTAATATTGCATGTTTATTTCAGCAAGTGGAGTCTAGTTAAAAACATGGGTATTTGATATTTATTTTAAAAATGTTCTGCCTTTCTACGTATAAAATGGGGCTTGTGTGTTTGTGTGCAACACATGCAAATTGAGTGTAGCAGTACATTTTGTTTGAATAATGCCATTTTATCAAGGAAAGTCCCATGTAACTCTGCCAGATGTGGATAAAGCACAGTCTTTTTAGATTCTTACATGTGATCTTTGCTCCCTCATGTGGGCACATGCAGTGGTGCACGAGCAGTTCCAATAAAACGCCCTTGTGTTCTTTTGCACTAGCAATTTGAGAACTGGAGAGTGGGTCAGCCGGACAGCTTCTTCTCCACAGGCGAGGACTGCGTGGTGATGATCTGGCATGAGAGCGGCCAGTGGAACGACGTGCCGTGCAATTACCACCTGACCTTCACCTGCAAGAAGGGCACTGGTGAGACCTCATCTTCCTCTTCTTCTAGTCTCCACTGTCGCTTGCTGTCAGCTCATCGTCTTTGGCCTTCTTTTGGCTCTGTCTTAGTGTCCTGCGGTCAGCCTCCTGTCATAAAGGATGCCCAAATCTATGGCAGCATGAAGCCGCGCTATGAGATCAACTCTCTGGTCAGGTACCACTGCAAGGACGGCTTCATCCAAAGACACGTTCCCACTATCAGATGCCGAGAAGACGGCCACTGGGACAAGCCCAAAATCACATGCTTGAATCGTAAGTCGCTGACTCTGAATAAATAGATGTTTAGTGAAATCCAGGCATGAAATTATAATGCCTGCTTATAATAATTTAGTAATTATTTATAATAACATTTGATCTATAAAACATTTTTAATTCGTTTTTATTTTTATATTTTCAGTTTAATTTTAATTTCAGTTTAAGTAGTTTTGTTCTGCTTTTGCCATTTTTATCTTTTTTTAATATATTTCTATAGCTTTATTTGTATATCAGTTTTACTCTAAGTAATTTTAGTGACTTATTTCAGTTAGTTTAAACATTTCAACATTTCTAATTGTCCTTAATTTAAATTTTTTCTTTCATTATTTCTATAAATTTTTTCAGCTTATATATGTTTTTTTCTTTTAAAAAATTATACATTTTAATAGTTTTGGTTTTAGTGAATGATAACAACACTGATATTTTGACTCCATTACTAGTAATTATTTATAATAACATTTTATCTATAAAACATTTTTAATTCGTTTTTATTTTTATATTTTCAGTTTAATTTTAATTTCAGTTTAAGTAGTTTTGTTCTGCTTTTGCCATTTTTATCTTTTTTTTATATATTTCTATAGCTTTATTTGTATATCAGTTTTACTCTAAGTAATTTTAGTGACTTATTTCAGTTAGTTTAAACATTTCAACATTTCTAATTGTCCTTAATTTAAATTTTTTCTTTCATTATTTCTATAAATTTTTTCAGCTTATATATGTTTTTTTCTTTTAAAAAATTATACATTTTAATAGTTTTGGTTTTAGTGAATGATAACAACACTGATATTTTGACTCCATTACTTTTCTTTTTCCGTGGAATACAAAAGAGGACATACACTGTAAAGTTGTAAATAAAACAAAGATTATTAGGGAATGTATTACAAGAAAATACTATTTCAGTGTTTTTTTTTTGTTGTTGTTGTTTTTACTTCAAAATTTCCTAATGTCTTATTTCCCGGTTCTTTGTAATAATAAGTGAAATTTATTAACAAGATAAAGTCTCTAGAAAATGAAAATTGTTTCAAAATAAATCACCAATTTTTTTTTTCCTTTCCCCAAAATGCTAATTTCCATAATTTGAGTCTGTCAGAATTCAAAAATAACAAAAAGTGTATTTTAAGTCTTACAAGGCCATACAAAAGTATTTATGTGAGGGGAAATTTAAGTCATTATTTACTCAAATATGTGACATATGGGAAGTCGGGGCCTAATGGTTAGAGAGTCGGACTCGTAACCCAAAGGTTGCGGGTTCGAGTCTCGTACTGGCAGGGATTGTAGGTGGGGGGAGTGAATTTACAGCACTCTCTCCCACCTTCAATACCACGACTGAGGGTGCGCTTGAGCAAGGCACCGAACCCCCAACTGCTCCCCGGGCGCCGCAGCAAAAAATGGCTGCCCACTGCTCCGGGTGTGTGTTCACGTTGTGTGTGTCCACTGCTGTGTGTGTGCACTTAGGATGGGACAAATGCAGAGCACTAATTCCGAGTATGGGTCACCATACTTGGCCACATGTGACGTCACTTTCATTGCAGTACACTTTCTGTTAAGTTCAAGAAAGAAAGTCATATATGGTTTTGAAAATGAGGGTGAATATATGATGACAATTTTCAATTTTGGGTGAACTATCCTTTTAAGTTAATACATCTTTTCCTTTTATTCTACAGCATCTACCTACCAGATTTATGCACACAAATATCAAAACAACAACTATAACAACAACAGTAAGAGACGCTACAGTGAGTCGACGCAGTACCGTCATCGCTGGTCAAAGACAGCAGATGATTCCACACACTGATCTCCATGTCCAGAGCTACAGATGCTTCACATCTACAGAGAAAGTCTTTTGTCTAAAGGGCCTAAGCAAACCATGTGCCTGATGAATGTTTTAGAGCCGAGAAGTGAATTATTACCCTGAGGGACTGCAAAAAACACCATCACCCACCCACTGAGAGTGTACTTTGACTATGCAACAGTCTACATTGCATATTGTAATAATGTCTTAATGTTTTGACATGGGGATGGGGGGTTTCTGGTTGAAATGTATATAGTAGAGATAATGAACAAGTAAAAAGAGCTGTGAAAGGTGACTGTTATTTTTTTATTCATCCGTAACTTTTGCTTACGAAGAACTGGACTTCCTGTTCTCTCTGGCTTAATAAGAGAGCACTATGGTACGAGCAGAATATAAACAGAACAGTTACAGTACTCAAGAGTAAAAGAACAATAGGCATTATTTTGTTTCACATTGTGGTGAGGGGGGTTCAAAAGGGATGTCGCGGGGCTGGAGGACAAACAATGCTGAAAGGACTGCAACTCATGACTGGAAAACAAATCTTCAACATCGTCTTCCTCTGCAGCATCCTCACTAGTTGTGAGGATTACTCCGATAACCATTGTAGGCTACACTCTCATAATGATATTCTCATATGGCATCAAAATACATATTTTCGACGTTTTTTAATTTTAATTTTTTTTTTTTTTTATATGTTTGTAATATAACCATTTTTACTTTTTTAAATGAATGTCATGGTAAAATATGAAAATATGAATACTGTATGTGTGGTTGAATGAACTAGCATTTTTGTCAAATATTATTACAAATGTTACATGAAGCCATAGTAGTTTAATTTATTGCTGAAGATACATTTAACAATGAATGAACTGTGAGATTATGAATAATAAAGCGCTATTATAATATTATGAACACGTTTAAACGGTGTGTGCTCTTGTTTTGTAGCATTTCACAAAAATCCCGCGTAAATTCTTGACACAAAGTGCTGTGGATGGTCTTGACCAAAAGAGGGCGATGTAACGGAAACGGAGATTTCCGCGCCATCATGAAGATGACATGTGATCGTAATGAACAGACACTTGCACTGTTTTGACGACTTTCTAGTCGACAAACTCGCTAACGTTAACAAGGTAAGGACGTGGGTGTTTAAAGCTGAACACTGTTCAGTGTTCATTTTGAGATTAACTCTGTCAAGCTTCTGGTGTGTTTTCTGAGAGTCTTTGGCAAGCAAAAGTTTATTTTTCCCTGAACTGAAACACTTAAAATACACAACGACTTTGGCCATCTTTAGTTAAAGACCCATGAAATTGTAGTTTTGTGGCATTCGAACACGTCTGTTAGCTTTTAGGCCAACTTTCTGTATGAGCTAGTCAGTGTATTTATAAAACCGACCAAACTTGTAGCTGCTCCATTTCCTCTGAGAAAACAGTCAAAAATTGGTGACTCTTATTGATTATTTTTGCAGGTTAGGAGTGTTTACACATTTTTGTCCAATAAAATGGTCATTAGAAATATGCCTACAACTAATACCAGAGTATCCTTGGAAAAAGCTGTCTGTTAGATTTGAGAAAAATCATAACGCTTAATATGGCAGCTATATGCATGGAAGTCCCGCCTTTTAGTTAAAAGGTCTAATTGGCTGTTTATTTACAGTAAACACACGGTTGAATAAGCTGGACAAGCTTTTCTGTTAAGGGGTTGCAGCGATGTTTGTGATACCATCATTGTCAGATTTTGCTGGTTTGAAAGATATGATTAAAATATAACAATTTTAACCGTTTTTTAGATATGCAACCTTTAGCCTGCTATATGCATACTCTTGGGCTTTTTATTCTGAGGACATTTTTATAAAGCCAGTCAGTCGCCTGATTTCTATTTTCCTTGCAATTTCTTTATTTTGGCAGAGTGTGTGTGTAATGTGACCGACTGTTAAAACTATAGACCTCTGTTATTTTTATATAATTTCTCGGTGTGCTTTTCTAAAAACAACCAAAACAAATATGTATTTGACTGATTGTTTATTTTTTGGGTCAAGGGTTTTTCCACATCGATACAGTCAAATTATCCCTTTAATTATACTTTATGTACACAAAACAAGGGTGAAAAATGTTAACATTGCCTATAAAGACATGTCTAAACATTCAATTGAAGTTTTGTAAACAAGGCACATGTACAGTTGCCACAGTCAAAACAAAATGAATAATGAAATTAATGTGAATACTGTATTTTGAAACATCACTGATATTTAGACCTTTGCGTATTTTCCTTTTTTTCCAGTTTTTGGTGGAGCTGGTCATTTAATGTAGTGGCTAAAACTCATGACCTTGAGTTCTAAACTGCCTGTGTTGACCCTAATGGTAATGATAACAAGAATAAACCATCAAGTTGTTTTTGTCTTAGCTTGGCAGTCTGTTTTAATGGTTTGTTTCTGAATGCCATGGCTTTGACATGTTTTTCTGAAGGTCTACTGCTTCACAGACAAATAACGACTGAATGCCGCATGCTAACTATGCACTTTTTTTTGTTGTGCCATTATTTTTTGTCATCTTTGAGTACACCTTTTCCTGCAAGGTCTTTTTTTTTTTCAACAATAGAAAATTAAGTTCATTGTGCTGTTTTTGTTTTACTAAGTAACACAACGTGATCATTAGCACTGTTGTCTTTTTAACCACCTCTGTCTTGCTATTTGTAAACAGTAACATGCATAGACTAAAACTACTCATCACATGTGCTGGAAACTGGGCTGTGTGCTTTCTTTCACACAACTTCCTCTAGTAAACTAATTTTTATTAACATTTTTGTATTAACATTTGGCAACATTGCCACGGGCTATGTTTGAGGATAGGTTTTCTGTGGTTTAATGAATTGATCAGAAGTACTAAATAAGAAGTTCTAGAAAACAAACCAAGATTTACTTGATGTAAACAATGGTTTTGTTATAATGTCTGTGGTATGAACCACAGATTTCTTCATCGTCCTGAACACAAAGAAAGTTTGACAGTGATGAGGTCAGTACAGTGGAGCTCTGAATTTCTTACATTGCGTCTTAGGGGAGACATTGTATAAACGCATAGGCTAGTTTCAAGAAAAAGATAATTAACATACATTTATAACCACTCTACTTGTATATTTCAATAGTTTAAAAAAAATCACAGAACAATGCGACTTATGACTCAACATGGTTTGGTCCACACGTAAAACTAAATTTAAAAAGGTATGTTTTTAGAAAATAATACAATATAGCACCCTGTAAGGATGGCAAAAGAAAAAGTTGTTCATTGTGCCATGGCTGTACTGTATGGTGTTTAGCACTTTCGTTGAATTTGTTTTCCTATTAACAGAAAATATATTTTTCACATGCTATTTATATGGGATATGATGTTCTTGAATGATAAACTAAGTGCCCAAAGGTATCAGTTCAAAGTATGTAAGCTTTGCTGTCATTCTGTTCTAGAACATCCCTCAAGCTACTGCATGCTAAATGGAAGAGCACAGAGTGAATTTCTTCTGCAGTCTCACCAAATATCTCTTCCTTCAGCACTGCTGTACTGTATAAGATCATTCAGACCTGGAACCAGTAGCTATAATTTCTGCGGCACCCAATGAATACTATTCCTGTCCTGTTGCCGTCTTGTAGCGAAGTCCTGATTTTGAGGGAAGAGGGTGCCTGAGGTGCCTAATTCTACAGAATCTTTGCTTCAAACAAACACCAATCACTTATTTTATATTTAAATCCTTCTGTATTACAGTATCTAGAGACTTTGTCACAGTTTTAATGCACTCGAACTAACTCCTTACATTATTACGCTTAGTTCTTGAGTTATACATTTGGTATACTCAGTTGTCGCTCTTGTAGCAGTAGACGCCGTAGAGTTTGTGCTTCTTGTCTGGAAATCCAGAGAAGCGGACGGCAGCCTCCGTGGGACTGCAGCGTCTGCGTGGTCTTGAGATTGGGTAGCGTACGCTGCCGTCCGCTAGCCAGCCTGCATCACAGCGGTCATAGCCCAGCAGCTTCCATGCTGCGTACATCTGCCCGACTTTGGCGATCTGAGCGCCGTCCTTTTGACATGCCCGCACTGCCTCATCATACGTAAGTTTGAAAGGGTGTATCAAATAATAGAAACGTCCTGGAGAAGAGAAAAGGGAAAGGCCTTTACTCTCAAATAATATGCAGTAAGGATATTAAACAAGGAGATTCTTTGCATGGCTGAACTCAATTAGTTTTTTCCTTTCATAAATTATGTATCATCAATTGCTCCACTTTTTGGAGAAGCTAGCCTATTTCAAATGCCTTTCATCAAACAGTGGGGAGGACAAACCTTTGTGGTTAGAGGAGAAACAGAAGACATCATATCTTTCCTTTTGCTTGTCACGCATCCCATAATTCCGAACACCAGGAATGGTGTTTTTGCCTCCACATTGCTCTCTGGGTTTGGTGATGGGGTATTGCACCGATCCATCATTGAGCCACCCTGCATGGCACCAATCCAACCCGTCTCTCCATGCATCGTACAGCTGGTCGAAAGATGCCACAATGGCATCCTGGTCTCTGCAAGCTTTCTCGGCATCAGCGAAGTTCAGGTTGTAACGACCCAGTCGAGGAAAATATGGGAACACAATGCCTGTAGGACCCCGAAGAGCCAAAAAAAAGGTATAAAAATGGCATTTTTGCATAATAGAAATCCTTAAAATGGTCTCTGATTAGAAAATAATCTGGCGATTAATGAAATTCCAAATTAATTTCTCCAATGCTTCATCTAAAGTGAATTAAAATTTTGATTTATTGCATGCAACTAAAATGATGCCAAGAATGCTCTGACAGCAAGGACCAAATAAATGTCCCATTATTTGGCCATGATAGCTTTTATGTCAGGATCTTACTGAAGGTCTAGAATTATAAGTTGTTCTACTCTGCATTATAAGACTATTGAATAGTGTTTACATTGCACACAGTGTGAAGAGAGTCAGTACAATGCTGTCTCACAGATAATTGCCTTGAGGAACAGCCAAGGATGCATAAACGGTGTATAGAGTTATGTGTAATATTCCGGAAAAAACAACCCAGTCTTACAATGGTAGTGTGTTGCTGTAGCAATGTTTTTTCATCCATGTGGCCATTTTGTAGAGTTTCTTAAAAACTTGAAGTTATCATGTTTGAAGGAAGCAGAATATGTACACAAAATATTAATATAACCAAATGACAACTGTCAAAGACATGGTTTTAGTAAAGATTATTGTTGGGTGCTGGCCTACATGGTAGACGTGCCTAGTCATGTTGTTCACCAGCACAACTTATCTGATTAAACAGTTTGACCCATGAAATCTTGCAAGTCAATAGTTTTAAAACATGGTAGTGTCACTACCACACCAGCATCTACATTTTCATAATCAAAATTAAAACAGCCTGTGAGACATTGTGGTGGCGCATGGCTAAATGTTGCTAGAGGGACCAGGAAAGATATTTTAGCAACATAAATCTATGCTTTACCTTCCAGGTCAAGGGATACAACTGCTGTATCATCCTCCAAGCCATCGATGACTTCACACTTGTATTTCCCATAATCCTCCAGAGTGATGTCAGTGATAACTAATGAGGCATCATTCGCACTGGCAGCCTGCAGGTGTACACGGCCGTAGAATCGACCATAGCTCTTTTTGTGGAAGCCCATGGCTACAAACACATCAATTTCCTTCAGATAGTCTGAAGTCAGTTTAGTCCATTTAATCCTCATCTTGGGATTTGGGGGAGATGAGGGATCCCGGTTGAACTTGCATTGCAGTGTGGCATTGCCTCCACATTGAGAGATTACTTTGGGTTGTGCTGTGTCAACTGAGAGTCTGGGGCCATTTTCTAAGTCAGAGAAAGAGATTTTCAGTCAAAGAAGTAAACAAAATAATAATGTAGATTGAGTTAATAGCCTTTGATCTGTTTTTTTTGTTGTTGTTTTTTTTTGTCCCAAGGCCTGTTGCATTGGTTAGTGTTCAATAACTTCAGGTGTGTCACAAAGATGATAGCTTGAATTTATCCTTGTCTATTGCTACAGGCTGTTGTGGTTATGCAAACGCATAAATCATAATGTTTGTTAGATTTCAGAGAAGTGGAAACTCCCCTACATGTTTATGACAGAAACTTAAGAGTGACTGTGTATGCTCTTCCAATGAAGGCAGTGCCCCCATCACAGGGTGAGCACCCCCTGCTGGCCTCACTAGCACCTCTTCCAGCAGCAACCTAGTTTTCCCAGGAGGACTCCCATCCAGGTACTGACCAGGCTCAACATTGCTTAGCTTCAGTGGGTGACCAGGCAAAGCTGCTGGTTGAATTAAATGTTAGAGGAATTTGTATGTCTAAATAAAACTCTCCCATACTCTTCCTCATTACCAGGCTGAAGGATGATGAAATCTCAAAGTCAAATAACCTGAGTTAAGACCTGGGTTTGTCAAGTTCTCAACAACACCCTGTTGAATCCGTTGAAAAACGGAAAGTTATCCAATCAACCAAGACACGCTGCAGCTAAACTCCAGTTAAATTCAATTTATGCTACAGGAATGCTTATTTGTCAAAACTTTGTCAAAACCAAAATTGAATACAGGCACTGGCACAGTGTCCAAACCAGGTGTGATGCAAAAAGTTTCCATCTTTAAAAATGTGCAAGAATGCATGGGATTCTCCGATTTTTTTAACCAATGTGATTTCACTGGGGGCTACTTGGCGTGACCCCAAAAAATAAATAAGTGATTGAATCCAAGCTACCAAGTCTTGTGTATTTGATGTGACTGATTGGGTCAAAACAGATTAGCATTGCAGAGGTAGTTGTTATCACTTGTCATTGTATCATTCCTGGCCAGGGCACAGCGTGTTGTTTTTATACTAATTAATACTTACTATATAGATGTTCACACAAACTAAAAACTTGTTTATTTTGCAGATATGGTCGGGGAGGCTGATATACTACTATAATCAGATATCAGCATGAAAAAATACTGAACCCCAATAGCTTATCAAATATTTAACACTTGTAGTAAGTAATTCCAGCCACTTTGCATTCTGTGACAGGAGCCAGAGGGTTTCGAATCACCTAAGCCAACACCCAGTGAGATAATTACGGTAAGTGTCCCTGTTAAGAAATGCTGGAGGGGGAAGCACCATTTAGGGGATGGGCAGTACAACCCCCTCTCTATCTCTCTGTGTCTCGCTTTCTCCTGATCCTCGTCACCCTCTTTCTAAAATTTCCTCTCATAAACAATCACAAACACATCTTTTCCCATCTCTTACCTGAGATGTATATAGTCCTGTAGTGTTCCAGGTCACTGTATGCCTCTTCAAAGCTGTCAGCTCGGCTCTTGGAAAGGACCAAGAGGAAGAAAAGAAGGAAGGTCATCTTGATTTATTGCACCGGTGGGGGGGGTAGGGGGTACTTCACTACATGAGAGAACACAAAAATAAGGGACAGTCATACAACATGCATTTAACAAAACCATTTATCTACTGTACATCCAATCCAGGAAGGAGACATTCTTTAGAGTTATATTATTAGGCTTTACTAAAACAATCTCAAGTTGTTTTCTGTGGAGTTTGTGAGCGAGTTCAGTTTTGTGTGACTTGCACCAGATCCCCTGCACGTTTCCATCTGCAGTAACTCCCCTGTGCAGTACTGTCACGCAGACATCAGCGCACACTGTGTCCTTTTCCCCACATCTCCCAGAAAGACACTCATGCAAGGTATATAAATAAATGACTAAGACTGTTAAACTTTTTACGCATGCATAAATCCCAATTAACACCAGTGCAATCCGAACGCCATTGCTGCAGGACTTCCTTTACCCTTCACCTTAAGAGGCACTGAAGTGAGAGAAAAGTGCAGTCGAGATGCTCACTATGGCACAAACTAGCACAAAACTTTGCTGGCACACTTCTAAAGCACAGATTGCCTCCCTACAGACTCGGAGCTCAGAAAAGACTTACCATCTTACAGAGCGTGTGCTCCCGGCCACTAGCGCATGTGAGGACAGCTACGCAAAAGATCAGGATTAGAAAGTGTGTAGAGTCTTCTCTCCCTCTCTCTCTCTCTCTCTCTGCAGTCACTGATTGATTCGTTTTTTTTCTTCATTCACTTCAGAGTGCTGACGCACTGAGGTAGTTCCTCTCTACTGCAGTCAGCAGAACTGCTCTGCAGAGTAGCCAACCCCCCCAGACCCAGCCTGCAAACAGTCATTACGCATACCAGGAAGCCACCGCTGATAACAGTGAGGACTCGCAGATGCAGTGCCCTCACCTGTGACAGATAAGTTACCACAGTACAGTGAGCTTGCTCAACTGTGACAAGGTAAAATCATATCCTGCAGGAGAAGGATAACAAGTCCTCTGTTGCGAAATGGACAAAATACAATCCAAAAGATCTCCAGTAATTGTAGGATGCTGCATTGGTCTCGATCAGGATTAGAAAGTGTGTAGAGTCTTCTCTCCCTCTCTCTCTCTCTCTCTCTCTGCAGTCACTGATTGATTCGTTTTTTCTTCATTCACTTCAGAGTGCTGACGCACTGAGGTAGTTCCTCTCTACTGCAGTCAGCAGAACTGCTCTGCAGAGTAGCCAACCCCCCCAGACCCAGCCTGCAAACAGTCATTACGCATACCAGGAAGCCACCACTGATAACAGTGAGGACTCACAGATGCAATGCCCTCTCCTGTGACAGATAAGTTACCACAGTACAGTGAGCTTGCTCAACTGTGACAAGGTAAAATCATATCCTGCAGGAGAAGGATAACAAGTCCTCTGTTGCGAAATGGACAAAATACAATCCAAAAGATCTCCAGTAATTGTAGGATGCTGCATTGGTCTGCTATGCTAAATTGTTACAGCTGAAAGAATTTGTTCCCACCCAAATTACCCTATGGCCTTTTTAAGTGTAACGACTCTCAAACATGCTCTGTTTTGCAGGCTGACGGTTAACCAAACACAGACCGTTAACTCTTAGCCACACTAAATGTGCTGTTGACGGAGAACACTGTTACCAATCACATTCCTTTGTGACACTCCATTGTGTACAGTGAGGTCAAGCGCAGGGAAAACAAGCCATGCCTTTAGTTTTCAAATGTGGGTAAACGTCCTAAACGCATAGACTGCAGTTGATCAGAAAACGGCAATGGTTTAGAAACAGTGCCAGACCACTAGCTAATTCAAAAAAAGCATCACACGAATCTTAGTCTTGCACAACTTGAGAACTTATCTTCTGGGAAGAGGCACCAACTCTGTAACTGGGGTGAAAAGTCTCCGATTGTTGACATCTCTTGCTGCCAGGAAATGGTTACAACTTTGTTGAATTTGCTCAAAGACAATCCAGTATAAACAGTGACTCAATACTTGTTCTTAACCTTGTACTCCTCTTGTTTTTGGACATTTAAGCTAGGTTGCTGTTACCGCCTTAACATTAATTCTAATCTTTGTGATAAACATCAAATGAAGCTGCCAATGCTTAACAATGCAAATTTTTGAGTAGTCATGCTCAAGGTCTTTAAGCAGTATAATAGTTGCTTGACCAGGTCACTTGCAGACACTTGGTGCAGTGGAATATGAGTGGATAAGCATGGCATAATTTGCGAAGAAGCATCACACGAATCTTAGTCTTGCACAACTTGAGAACTTATCTTCTGGGAAGAGGCACCAACTCTGTAACTGGGGTGAAAAGTCTCCGATTGTTGACATCTCTTGCTGCCAGGAAATGGTTACAACTTTGATTGTTGAATTTGCTCAAAGACAATCCAGTATAAACAGTGACTCAATACTTGTTCTTAACCTTGTACTCCTCTTGTTTTTGGACATTTAAGCTAGGTTGCTGTTACCGCCTTAACATTAATTCTAATCTTTGTGATAAACATCAAATGAAGCTGCCAATGCTTAACAATGCAAATTTTTGAGTAGTCATGCTCAAGGTCTTTAAGCAGTATAATAGTTGCTTGACCAGGTCACTTGCAGACACTTGGTGCAGTGGAATATGAGTGGATAAGCATGGCATAATTTGCGAAGAAAATAAATTACTTGTCAACGATTTGAAGTCTGGGACAGGTCCTGATTAAACATGCTTGTTTAACTCAAGCACAGATTTTCCCAGCAGTTCTGCAGACTTTCCAATCCTCATTTGGAAATCCCTTTTGCAAGACCCAAACCTTTTGTTTGTTATACCTTTTTTTACTGAATGATGTAAAGTGTTTAGTTAACTGGGCTTTTTAGTAAGTATCTATTAGTGTCATTTTAAAGTGATGTTTGATAGCAGTGGCTCTGAAATTAACTTCCCTGATGTAAATAGTACTTTTTAATGCACTGGGTTTAGCTCATAAATGACCAATTTCAAAGATATGAAAACATTAGTGTTTTTGAATTGAACTAAATATTTACATTCTTCCCTTAAAACTTTTGTTAGAAGCCTTTTGCTAGAAGATAAAAGATATCGCTAGACACACTGAAGGTCTGGAGACTATACACACAACTTCACAATATACACATTGGAAATGGAGTCGACATAGCTTGGGGGTTCATTTTATTATGTCACTTCCCAACAACTCCTACTGGTTCCTGAGCAGCTGTGAAGCTCGGGGAGATTATGGATCCATTTTGGTCAGAACCTCATTTCCCTTTGACCCCATTACCTAATGTACCAAAACATAATCCCTTAAGTGGTTGATTTGAGTAGACATTGCCGATACTATAGGCTATTCCTTTCCTTGTTTGGCAGTAGATCTCCAGACGTGATAGCGGTTGTGTATCTCTCTCTCGTTCATTCATTTACCAAGTGCCAAACAAATATATAGATTCCAGTGATCTTGCATTACGCTAGTCAACTTGATTTCTACAAATGTGTTCTTTCAGAAACCTTTGCCAAGTATAATGCCATTTGGTCGTCATAAAAATAAATGCATTTATATAATTGATGGACCAATATATAGGCCTATCAGCCAGACGGATTAATCTGTCAATATTTGGCCCTTTTAATTAAGATCTGACCTATACTTAAAGAACAGAGATGTCCGTTAGAGATTCTGATAACACCTGATAGCAGTATCAGAGAGTATGCTCCAATTTCAATGTGAGATGAATGTATGCACCGGTTAGATGAGGATTTGTCTGTAATGTGCTTGTTAAATGGGTTAATTATTCTTGTCAGGAAATGCAGACATAATTGAACGGCTTAAGGTGGTAAACCTACTGAGTCCACAGTAGACCTGTGCAGATGGCAGTGGTGATTTTCAGGTGAATGCAAAAACAGTTCAACACAAATAGATGCAGTGTAAACCTGTGATTTCAATGACTCATGTTTAAAGCTTACATTTGATTCTACAAAGCACACAGTAACCCTTAATCTACATAACATCAGTAAGAGGACTGTTTCCATCCTTCAAACGATTCACTGTTTTTGAAGGCCACGGCTTCTCTCTTCACTAGACATTAGACCGATGACAGTGTATGAATGGGATCCTAAAGCCTCTCATTTACAGTGAAATCAGACTTATTTCCACTTTCTGTCATTCACACAGGTCCTGCTAAAAAAAAAAGTCCTGTTTAAGTTACTGAGGGGACAGTTTTACTCAATTTAAATTTAGTCCTGAGGAAGCAGTTTGAACTTTACCTCTTAAATCCTGAATTAGCATTGCAAATGTTTGTGGATGAAAATCTTATTGAAATCACTACTATATCCTACAGTCAGTTGTTATAGGATACATGTAGTTATAGTAAGATATCTGTCTTAGAGCCATAATGAATTTGGATTTTGTATGTTTTTAGAGATATAAATTTTGGCAGTAATTTCAAAATATTTATACAATTATTCAGACCTTGCCATTCTTAAATAACTCTTATCTAAAGCATGTTAAATGTAATTTAAATTTCGAATATGTAATGAAATACTGTGTAGATTTGATGTTTTCAGACAACAATTTACAATTGTTAATTCTGCTACAACTTGTGCTTTTAATTTTCCAGACAAATTAACTATAAGTATTTCTAAAGAGTGCCGAAAGACCTACTGACACTTCTGGAGATGTAGTGCTCTAACATGCCTAAGACTGGCCCCATTGACGGGGTAATTTGATGGGCCATTATGCAGTCTTTGGCATCCACAGCACCACTCCCAAAACCTTAAAGAGCCATGTCACAACATCTCAAATCTTTCCATGTGTTTTCTCTAGGGGTCAGGCGTGTGTTCGACCTCCACTCAAGCACTTAGTAAAGTGAGTTCATTTCATGGACTCTGTTCTTAAGTCAAATCCATTTGTTACAGGTGCCATATGCTGCATATTTGTCTTAAAGTTTATTACTACACATAGACATGGTTTGTAGCATTTTATTTTTTTTACATTCTGTGAATCAGACAAATAATGGACCTGAAAACAAAAAAATCATTCATTATTTATTCACCTTCATGTTGTTACAAACTTGCATGAGTGGAATTTGAATGCCATGATGGTATGTGAGATTATATTATATGTATTATGTTCTGGGTTATAGAGTGGGGTTAAATAGAGTTCCTAGAGCTCTATGAAAACATTCTAATGTTTCACTTTTTTGAGAAAAAATATGCAAAGGTCAGAAAACAGTTCAGCCATTCATAATGAACAAGGAGATGCTCTGTTCTGAATAATACAGAGTCTTTCTGAGTTCCAACTATTTTGTGATTTGTGGCAAATGACTGAGAAAGGTTTTCTTTTTTTCTTTTTTTTAAAGAAAACTGAATAATTTGTAATCCAGTTTCACATGTTCTCTTCTGTGCATTGTCAGGTGAACATACTAATTGTAAGGTCATCTTTAAAGATGCACTAAGCATTTTTTCCCCACTGATACACCAGTGGTCTTGGACGTTATACTGACACCTACTGGTGATGATGCAGTTTCACGCAAACTATTTTGGTTACTAATGCCATTTTAGATCCTATTTACAAGTGTAGTTAGCTGGTCATGTGATCTTGACATGGCAGCCAATTAAACAACTGGTCTAAGCCACTGATATGATTGCAGTCCTCATCTTGTGTGAGTGTACATCATTGGGGGCCAAACAACGAAGGTAATTTTTTAAAAATTACTATATCAATTTCTGCTACATTTGTGAACCTAGTTTTTCAAGCCTGTTCTACAGCATTCATTGATGTCTTCCCACAATTTGTGTGCCACACTGGTCAGAAATTTGTTGTGGCTTTTTTCATATATAAAACTGTTTGCTTGCACCTATACAACAATGGATTTGATGGCAGGGACACAAAACAGAATGATTATCCTAAAATTTGTAAGTCTGCTATACTGTGGCCCCTTGGGTT